ACTTCTGAGGCCAGACAGGATGGGAGGCTGCGTTATGCTTGATCAGAATATGCTCAAACCTTCTGACAATAAAACTTTATTTTGAAGTACGCAGTTTTGTCGAAGTCTCGTTTTGTCTTACGTCTGGGTATATTCACATATACATACTTTTATTCTAAGACACGAGTTCCACAAACACAACACTTTGGCAAGCATTTTGTCCATTCATTTTCCATACAGATTTATGGTAGAGATTTTCTTATGCATTTGCAATCGTATAAGACAATACAAGATAAGATCATCATTATTTGACCCACAGTGGGGAAATGATGGTTTTACAGCAAACATGCAGGAGGACAGGAGAGCACACAATAAGCACATAACTTATACAGATATAAGCATCTGTGAACGCCTCTTAACAATATATATATATATATTATATACTGTACATAATATAATATATAGACATAATCTGGGACACGCATTACTGTATAATTGTTGAGCATATATAAAAAATGCAGTACATTTTCTCTTCTCTACACTCTTCTTTTTCTCTATATTGAAAGGTTTTTTGTGGGTTAGCGCCTCATTACAGAGCTGTGTTGAGGTTACAGAATACAGGAAAGTCACTGGAGGCATTTTGAAGCTGTGTTAAACAATGGTGGCATGTTGAGGTAAAACAAGGTAAATTCCCACGTACACAAAGTCTGCGAAATGTTTGAATATCATCTGGAGCGGGCACATAAGGCAATAGTCTGGACAGCCAAAAAAACGCAAGAATCCAAACAAAAGCCAGGCTCACTACGCAAATAGATACCCCTGCACACAAAGCCAAATCCTCCACAAAACACATAATAGCTGCTTCTTATTGTTCCCATAAAGCACTACTGCAGGTGTATGAAAAATGGGGCTATATGTTGGCGGAAGGTTTTTTTATCTGGAGACGCGAGGCACATTTTCTTCATTTTGGGGTTTTAAAGTTAAGTACCCAAGCCCTAAATAAAGTATTCAAATGTATGCTTTGTTTGCTTTTAATTCAATCATATTTTTTGTCCAAGTCTAGACCTGAGACACATTTTACAAGCGCCTACACAACTTGTTGATGTGAGGGCAATGCACACAGATATAAGAGATTCTGACATTTGCATAATTCTGTTTTTTTTATTGGATTAGATATTTTACAAAATCAAGAGAACCTGGCCTCACCTCTGAATAGCTCGATCCCAGAGGTGGAGCAGCAGTCATGCACGACCAGATCCTAACTAACACACGCTCACAATGGGGTAAAAGCGGCTGATCACACCAGCTCTCTGCAAACTGGGGGAACGCCACCGTCGACAAGATTATCTGAGGACATCTGCTGCATTCGAAAGAAGATCCGCCACTACAGCACTCGGAACAAGATAAAGTGCAGAGAGGGGAAGAGGAGAGAAAACGCTGTGAGTTATAGATGTACTGAATGCATTTTGATATCTATAGGCTAAGAATATGCATCAAAGAATATGAGGGGGATATAGCTATACTGCTGTTGATAGGGGGCTACTTTATACAGGTGCAGGGGTAGAACTCTTTTGTGGCAGAGTCTGTAGATGTGTTAGCTAGTAAAATCAAATTAAGCAAAATCTGTAGTATTTTTAAAGATTGATTTATAAGGAATATGTTGATCTGTGTTTGCGAACAGAGTGTTGCAAAAAACATGAGTTCTTGGCAAATCTAGGCAGTTCAATTCCTGAAAACAATTCTTGGGATGGACTGACCCGGCTGGAGCCAACATTGTCTCAGGCCAGTGATACTTCCATTGTGATTTAATGTTCCCAGCAGTGATAGATAATACAAAAGCTGTGCTGACTAGTGCTCTGTTACTCTTCTAGTGATTTTTTCAAGCCACAATTACCTTTAAAAAACATAAATTATTATTGTAAAGGTCGACATGAGGTCAGCTCTCCATAGATCTGCCGGGTAACTTGGCTTGCATGGCACCACGTTGTCTCTATGGAGATAGATATGACATACGCTCAGGGAATTGTGATAGATATTACTATGTATTGCCTCAAAAGTAGAGCTCAAGACTGGGGAATGCGAGTGTGCCAATTTCAAGGAATTTACAAATGTATATTGTTTATTCAATTTACCATATATAGCTGCATGTACAGTATACAGGAAAGAAAAGAGTCTAAGTACAGCAGTAGCAGGTTTTGTTTTGTATTCTCTTGTCTGTGTATCGAGGATTATAATTCATTCTGTCCAATTAGGAAGCAGTGGGAGTGAGATTGGGTGGGTCTAATCGGTGCTGGCTTTGAAAAACTATATCTCCCTCTCTTCACTCTTCAAAAACTAATTCACTACAGGCGTGTGCAGTGAGTGACGTGTGCGACATGATGTGGTCTTTGTTTACACATTGGCTTTGAGTGACTGTTTGGTGACATATAGGAGTCCCATGGCTGCTCATTAGGCAGTGCTGGGGGCAAAGTGATGCAGCTCCAGGTCCATGCACACACACAGCTAATCACTCATGCAGTAACCTTTAACATCCACACACATTCACTTTCAAATGCAAAACCATGCAACCCCCTCATCTGGAGGGAGTCCAAAATGATGGCACCAAATGTAATGGAAGTGCATGTCTTACAGAGCCGTATAGAAGACAAACCTTGAGCCACTACTTTACAAACATAATTTATTGAGGGAATATAGAGGTGGGAGCTGTTATTTGCTCCAGTGCAAGGTCTATTTAGTTTTAATTATCCTAAATTAACCACGTGAACCAGCACTAATAAAAATGGGCCCATAAAGACTTGCCGTAATCACATTAAAGACATTCACTGCATTTGGTCATGCTTTATTTGCATTTCTCTTTTGCCACTTTGTCCTTATATCAACTGTCTGGTTTTGATCCTTATGTCCTAAATGAATATGATGCTCTTTCATTCATATATTTCCCATGTTAGCTTTGATATTAAACCAAAGAATAAAAATGCGGACTGCAATAATCACTGTTTGGACAGAAATCCCTATTTGATCTTAAATCCAAATGAAATAGCAGTCATAAACATGTATGTTTATTATACTTTTCCTAATGGGATATGCCTGAAGGGTCCTTTGTAAAAGTGCCCTTTGAAACGACTCCCACTCCAGCACTTTGCAGCAAAACAAGCTCTGGAATGAGTGCTTCACCTGGTCTGTGTGGAGGCCTGAAAATACAAGGCAAGATTTTGCTCGTTCTTCTTTATGGCGTTATATGATTTGTGGCGATCATTAGACACAACTTTGAATACAACGGAGATACAATAAGTTTGATCTTATTTGATTATTATAAGGGTTCACTCACATCTCATCTCAAGGACAACTTGTTTTGATGAAGCTAGACACAGCTCCACAGTACTCTATAATTTCCTAACTCTTCCTATGTCAAACTAATGACAACAATAACAATGTGGACTAGGAACTTGCTCTGTAGCACACAAGATCTTGCGTTAAATTGCAGATTTAACAAATGTGGAGTTGGACTGGATTTCAACACACTTTTTCTTCTTTGTTCACATCTGTTGATTTTTTTAACACAGGAGCCAAACAAAGAGAATATAAAACAAAAACTTAGTTTGAAATGTACAAAGACTCGCCAGTACCCCCTGCCTTCCCTTGACTCACATTGGCTTTGACATGTTCCCATTCATGAAAAACAATACTGGATTCATACATTTTATTCAAAACAATATTTGGTGCATTTGTATTATTAATTGTATTGCATATACAACATTTCCACATTATGAAGAAGTCAAGGGGCCAGCAGTGGAAATGTCAAAATGCATGACGTCAAGACACATGTTTGAACTGCCCTTTTTTCAACATGGTGGACAGTGTGGGCTTCAGATGCTCAGCTCCTGTTTGGCTGCTCCTCTGCTCCTCTGCTTCTCGTCACAGTCCCTGCCTCAGTCTGCATCTCATTTCCCGCCGCTGCTGCACTGATGAATAGTTTCATGAATATCTCAGCCGTGAGATATGAAGGTGCAGCCACAGCGGCCCACCCAGCAACCTTGTAAATAAAAGTCCCTCAGTCTGCTCTCAATGGCAGTCATAAAGAACAGGCTGGAGATTGCATCCCGCTGCCCAATGAGGAATAGAGGACGACCAAGGCTCCAGTTGTAAAGACTTCTTAACACATTTAACCTTGAGGAAAGTGGGCGGTAAATGTCTAGGTGAGAAGAGGTGAGGAGACACTAGGGGGGATTTTCACACCTACCAAAAACCCCAAGACCCCAGACCGGCCTTTACCTTCACGCTGACCAAGGTGGTGTCATTTTGACCTTTATCTTTGTTTGTTAATCTATAAGGACATGAATGGTCACTATTGTGCATATCATTAATGTTATTGTTTCAGCAAACCCCTCTAGAAACAGCAACAATATATAATTCTATAATAAATAAATGGCTAAGGCACTATTTCTGCTTCATAAATGTACAAAATGTGAATTGCTTGCCCCACAATACAAGAGCTGTTTCTAATACATGATCATGCTCTTTGTTATGGGTATATGTCATGATTTACTGCAACTAATTTATTTCAGTAATCAATTAATCATCATTTGCTTTATTTACTACCTCCAACACATTAAGACTCAAGCAAAAAAAGCATGAATTTCTCAATTTGAGTATGCATTAATTGTGTCTTGACATATGTATTAGAATGTCATTCAGTGGCTTCACTTAAAACTTCAAACGTCAAATGTGGGTGAAAAATCATAGAAAATGTATTAAATCAATCAATCATCAAGATATAACAACATCCACACCTTACTTGTTTAAAAAAAACCTTTCCCCGTTGGTTATAATATTCTCTCCAAGCAACTCCACCTCTCAAGGGAAGGGACTATCTCATGCATATTATGTTAAGTCACAGACATCATCTTTAATTATAAAACAGAAACATTAGAAGAAAAAAAAAACGAATCACAACAACTAAAAATACATTAACAGAACTTAAAATTACAACTCGGTCAAACCTCTTTTTAAACTGACTAATTATGGCACCGCGGGACCACAGAGCGCAGACGGAGCTGACATACGGGACACGCCCACTAACGCGAGTCAAGAGCAGGTCATCACAGAGCTGGAAACCGCCACTCTTATTTGGCAACCCGCTCAAACTACATAGATTTCACAAACGGTGAGTGAACCACGACCCACGCGCGCTCTTAGACGCTCCTGGACGCGTGTGCCAACGGGGAGACGCGGTCCAGACCTCTGCACAGATGTGACGCACCCGCCCCTGCAGTCTCCTCCGAGCGCCTCATCTCAGCATCATTTCTCCTCAAACTTTTGACTGTGCGTGACGCTGCTTTCACCCGGAGCTGTGACAGAGGCGAAGCTGGCGGTGATGTGGGAGTGTGTGCGCCTTCTGTCCCGTCAGGAGCGTCAGGAGACTCGGTAGATCAGAGGACTGCGCCCCGAGGACCAGAGGCAGCATGCGGCTCCTGTTGAGCGTCATTTACCCCGTGCTTTTACTCACGGTCTGCGGCTTGTACCCCTCAATGGTGAGTGTACGCCTTTCAATAATTTTCCCCTGGCTTGAATCCATGCCTTTCATTCAAGTTCCTTGCGTGAAACAAAAATAATCACAGCGCATCCGCAATGTTTCCACTCTTTCAACTATTTAAATTTCGCATAACATAAGGCATCGCTTGAAAGCCTTGTTGGAGAAGTAACAAGTGTGGAGTGATTGCAAATGTCCTCTAACTTTTGTCTGACTCCCCATTTACTCATCACATTTTCAAACTTCATTTTTGGTCAATATTGAGTTAACTTGTCTGTAAAGATTATCTGCTCCATGGCTCCAGCAATCCATGTTGTTCTTCCCCTGATTGTGTTACAGCCAAATCACATAAGAAATCCTTCTCTGTGCACTTTTTTTCTTTGAAGCCTTGAGACTATGGGGACCCAATTCATCATTCAAAAGCTAAGACATTCAAGAGGCATTGTACTCAGCAAGCGGCATCTCATTTAATTATATTTGGGATGATCTGGTTGAGGCAAGCACAGCGATTTCTTTTGTGACTTATGGATTTGGTCTTGTTCAGAGCTTAATGGGGTGTAATGTGATTGCTAGAAGGAGCTACATCATAAGTGCAACAATCAGGATGCAAGATATTGATTATAGGCGAAACAGTTGGTGATGCTATATGGAGAAAAGGGTTTTTCCACGTCTTACAAAAATCATTAGTTGAATTGCAGTTAGCACACAATTGGTAGCAAATATATGGATATTGTACTGATAAGAAAGAGTAGAAAATGATGTAATTGTTTGAGACTAAAGCTGACAGAGCCTCCAATGTCCTGCATGATTAATGGCCCAATCAATGTGGAGCTGTTCATTGCTGTGGTGCTGAAACTTCTCTATAGGCTCACGACAATGCAAAAGTAGGGAGGAGACGGGTTTTCAAGGTTAATAAACAATGAGAATAAATCCATGGGGACAAGAACCAATGGAAAATAAGCCCCATTCTATACTTAAAGTTACAGAGTTTTATTTGTTATTTGTCAGAACATTCTTTTGTTTTGTGTCAAAGCAGCAGTGTGCAAGTTAGCCCCTCAGCAGGAGTGAATGGGAGAGTGAAGGATGGTCTGTCGGCGCGATTTAGGTGTCAGCTCTGTAACTAACTGTCTGAACTACATGAAGATAAATGATTCTGTTGATCTTTGCTTTGTGAGGAACCACTGAGATGCCCCCTTATTTTAGTATTTACATGACGTCGTTTTTTTTGTATTTATTGTTTATGCTACAGGGTGACTTCAGATCATCTGAGTGGGATTCTTGTGGGCTGCCTATTATGCTATTATGATTATGAATTATTATTATAAGTGTTGTGTAGAGTAAATTCATGTGGGTCATGCAATAATTACCAAAGTAATTGCCAGAAAACCACTCCAGGACCTCCGCAGTGTTCCGGAATAATAAACTGGAATTCTTCTCTGAAACACGCAGCGGCAGAGCTCTGAGGTCAATGCAACACAACACTTTGAATGTCCGGCAGAACCCACAAACTTCATTTGGCTCACAGCGATACTAATAAATGGATATAACATTAAGCATATAATGGTGGAAGGAAGCACACTTTGTTCTAATTAAATGATCATTGCACCATTTCAGGGTTGTTAAAGAAGTGAATAAAACGAGAGGCAACAATCATGGAAGTGAAGATGAGTGACAAAGACCCGAGCCAGGGACTTTTCTCCTTTCACCGTTCACTATTTGTTTGGCTTGAATGTGCAAAAGGGAATTTTGCACATTGCAATATTATTGCTTTTTTATTTTCACATATAACTAAACAACACGGTTACACATATTGTTACAAAAAATGGATGACTAATGTCTATAAAACTCAAACAAATAAATAAGTTTAAATACTATTTTTAATGTACTGTCTGACAATTTAATTTCTCAATATTGCCCGGCAATTGTTACAAGTCAATTATCTAAAACATGTACCTAAAAGCATACTTTATGGCATATTCCATAAAAGAATATTTGCCATTTATAGATTTTTGATCACTTTTATCAGAAGTAGAAAAGACATCCTCTTGAATAGATGGAGTACAGTTTTCTTGTCACTGTGCTGTTGTTGAGCACTGAATAAACATTGACTCTATAGTCAAACTTTGCTTGAAATTATGAAAAGAAGGTTTGAGTCAAACCAGATGACTAAAACACATTGAGAAAACCCTCATAGTTAATTTCTTTTTCAAAACGTGTCTCCTCTGCATGGTTTCTTGGACCCATCACTGAGCTTATATTCTTATTTGTCACCACATCATTAGACACTTGGACTGTGTGCAAATGCAGAGATATCGTAGCAGCCAGACGTGCATGCAAATGTCCAGTTCACTCCCCTGGGCGTGAGCTGCACTGTTTAAAAGAACGAGCAGAGCTTTTATGTGCTATAGTCTGAGGACTGCTCTGTCACTCAGCCTCCTCACCACACTAATACTATAAGAAGCCTTCTATTTTATTACATGCTTCGGTTTTCAATGTTCACACTCTTTTTGTCCGTCTCAAAAAGGTTTTAGCGCTTCTAAAGAGGCATGGAGAAGAAAAGCTATTATCCTAAGGGTGAAATTAAGGGGTGTATTCAGTAAATTAGAAGTGAAAGCAAAAATGCCATTGATTTTTTACACTGACTTCAAATGGGTAGTAATTTTGTGCGTGCCCCCTGCCTGGATAAAAGGAGAACACTGAGGCGTTCACGCTCCATTCTTTGTTTAATATGCTTTGATTGGTCCACTACTGACTAGTGTTAATTTGCTTCTGAAGCAAACAAAGTCCAGAGCAGGTTTTATGTGTATTTGTGAGTATATTACAGCTGTTTACATTGTTATGAGTGTGTAGAATGTTCTTGATGACATTGCACTGTCTGCTGAATCACTGAAATGTCTCCACTGTATCAAGTCTTTATTTATCCTATCCCATAGTTATTATTGTTATAAGTTTTCTTGTATATATTGATGAATTGATTGAAACAAAAAATATGATGCATCACTCTCTAAAAAAATTTGCCAGATCATGTATTTTTTAGTTAAAGAAGGAACGTGAGATTGACGGCGTGTGCAGACGTGTGTGTAGAGAGAGTCTACGGCTATGCACTCGATTTGCAGTCAATCTATGATTTCACACTCACCTTGGGTTATGAGCTTTGAGTAATGACCAAAATGACTAGACTGATCACTTGTGAATGAATCTCAGTCACATGGGAGAAGCTCGGAGTAGAACCACTACTCCTCCCCATCCAGAGAAACCAGTTGACAAGTATCTCTTTGGATGCATCCTCGACTTGTTGGGAAGATGGTCTGGGCATGTACCCCCTTGGAGACCAGGACATGCTGAAAGGACTTTCTGCCCCTGGGAGCTTGAGTGTCTCTGTTCAGAAAGGGAATGTAGACAGCACAAGGAAACCAATGGATTTTTGAAAAAAAACAATTAAAGTTCATCATAGCATGGGTTCTCGAACTTTATAGTATGAATAAATATTGCATGAAACACACTATATACTGTATCCCTTGTTGTGTTGTTACCGAATTTCACATAAATATGTGTATCAAATACAGTAATTGATCATTGTAACAGTTGTAATAATTGTAACAATTTTAACAGTTAAAACGTGCAATTTCATCTTGAAATCTTTCTGTATGTTGTTGGGGCGACAGTAGCTCAGTTGGTAGAGCATTGGCCTTAAGGCCAGAAGGTCGTGGGTTCAATTCCCACCTCTACACCTTCTCCTCCGACTCCCACTGATGACTGCTGTTGTTGTGTCCTTGGGCAAGACACTTAACCCCACTTTGCCCAAAAGCCCCCGCTGGAAGATCTCAGCTCCTGTGGACTCACCACCTGCAGAGGATCAGTGAGGGGCTGGTGCTATGAGACTTGGGTGGCATCTCTGACTGCCACCCCCCTGACCCAGAAATGGATTAAAGGGTAGAAAATGGATGGATGGATGGATCTTTCTGACCCCCCGGCAACGTTTCCTGTACCTCACCTTGAGAACCAGCACATTAGAGCTCTTCATCAAATCCACTGAATTGGACATCAAGTCAAATTAATAATAGGTAATTAATGAAACAAGCACTTTCTTGTATAGCAGATTTGGCAGACATAAGCTTGACATCAGCTTGTATAATTTACACAGCGAATCCCAGTGGAGCCGTTGTAAGTAGATTAAACATTTACATAGCACTTTTCCCTTACGGTCCGCAGACAGACGATAATTACTCGGCACCAGAATGGAGCACATCTCTGATCTAAGCAATGATGGCTCTATGTCTGACGGTTACACATTTCTCTTCACACCTACAGCACCAGAACAAAGAGAGGCATAATTGACATGAGTGCAGAGAGTCCAGATTACGGTCACAATTCAATACAAACGTGTGGAATTGTGCTGCAATTTGCTCTAAAATGGACTATTATCAGAATGTGTCATTGTTACATATTTTCTTCTGCCGTTAAATGGTGTGTAGAGAAATTACGTGGGAGGTACTTCTTTGTCAGGTCTCTCATTTAGTGTGTCAACCGGACAATATGCAACAAAGAGATGAGGAAGGTTAACGTACAAACTTAATTGATACAGTAATGCAGGTGGACACAAACTCAGAAACTCACAAAATCAGATATGTCATTATCCACACTGTTAGAAAAGTGGATACGCTAAGGGTACATGCATGTTCTTTAAATTTCTAGATATGCCTTAAATGGTAAAAATACGTTCTCTGTTATAAAAAAGCCCCAAATGTGTACAATTATTTTTTGACGTAGTGGTACAATGCACAGCATACCACTGAACATGTCCAGGTTGTTGAATGTAAGTGGGCGAGGTCTGACAAGGTTGAGTTCTTACCCTGGCCCAATGAGATAAAGTCACAATTTTTCAATGTATAGACATTTATTGCGTGAATATGGGTGTGCGGCAAATACTATCCTTATGTTGTACTCAAATAATTATATAAGGTAAGATAATAAAAATGACCTCATTTCATCCCATAGTGA